GTAAACACCACATAGCAATGGGGACAGAGCGCAGACTGGGGTGGCTGAGCAGTGACTGAGACTGTGTGGCATGGTTGACCAGGTCTGCAGAGCTGCAGTTACAGACTGGTCCTTTCTTCTCTGGAAACAGCGTCCGTGTCTTGTCACAGCCTCCATGGAGAGTCTCAAGCCATTGCTTCCTCTTGGGAGATTTCTTTCTACTTCACTGATTTTTTGAAAAGAGTAGGGTCTCCTGGCATCCCACAGGACTTCTAAGAAAGGTATTTAAAAGAGAAACCCTCAGTTCTGTAGGTTTCCATCAAAATAATGGTGCTTATGATGACAGGCAAAGTATAAACGCTTAGGCAGACAAAGATGAGCACTGGTTTTGTAGCTGCCTATTTAAATCAGATCCCCACAAACGCCAGTCAGGTCGGGAGAGACCCAAAGCCTTTCTTGCTTGTTACGTGAGCCTTAGCAGAAGACCTTTATTTGAAGTTTTCTTTGCTGCTTTCATATGTCAGCAGCAGTGTTCTCCAGCAGTGGAGGGCAGCTTTTCTCTAATTTTAGATCTTTCTCTGGGAAGATGGCAGCTGACAACTTAGACATTTCTCTGAAAAGGCTGGGTTTGAAGGCATGCCTTCTTACTAAAGACATACATGCTGCGCAGCACGGCAGTTCCTGCCAGATCAAACTGAGCGGGTTTCACATTCAAATCCCAGCCCACTTGGAGGTCACACTCCAGGCAACATGTCCCAAGCCGCTTGCTGATGGGAAGGCTGGCTACGTGTTTTTTTTAGCAAGCATACAAACAGGGAGAGCTGGAAAGGGGGAGCAGAAGCAATGATTAACACGCAGCTGATCCACTGAGGAAGTCAAACAGATGCATTATTGTCTCTGAGGACTCCTGGCTGAAGTTACCTGTTTTTAAACAAAGCTTGCCACATCTCAGTGCATCATTTCAGGCAGAATGTTGGCCTGTGAGTTCCAAGGCAGAGCTTGCCTGCCTCCTTCCTGACCTTCCTGACTCATTGCACCTGAGGAGCAGCAGGGCCACCTCACTCCACTTCAAGTAATGTGCAGGAGAAAGCCCCACCAGAAAATATGTGGGAAGTGTTTTGTGCTCACAGTGTACCTGATGGGTTTTCCACAGCAAGTCTGATGATACCTCAGAAAGATGCTGTGCAACATCTGTTCAAGTTATCGAGGTGATGTGGTGAAACCATTGGTGTTTAAATAGAGCATTTTGAGCGAGTAGCCTTGTGGCTTGTGTCATTTTGCAATTTGGAGCAAAGTTTCCACAAGTGCAATGCCAAAGTGGGCACGCAGAAGCTACCAGTTGAGTTACTCATGATGGGTGTGTTCATCTTTTTCTTCTACTCCCATATCACAGATGTGTCACCCTTTGTGTCCTTCCTTGTGCCAAGTGACACGTTCGCTCCAGGGCCCGTTTTTGTCACGGGAAGGCAATGTGAATCATCCCTCATGTATCTGCCCAATCTTGCTCTGGTCTGATGAGGCAAGGCCGGGGTAACAGACGTGAAAATTAGGGGTTGTCCAGCAGGGCCCGGCTTTCCTTCTGACCGCCTTCCCATAGGGTGTGATCAATCTTTACAGGATGGAGGGCAAACAGACAGCAGCCCGCAGGCTGAACTTTGAACTGCCATCTATTTGCATTCAATTTTTAAAACAAACTATCAGTCTTTGCTCAGGCACGGATTCACCACAGATTGATGTATTGTGCAGGACTTTAAAGGGATGCTGACAGGCTAAAAATAATCCTGGCCAGCCTTCCTCCCCCTGGTCCATTCCCAGTGGCTGTGTGAACTGAATGGAGAGGGCCTGGCCGAGGGCACAGAGCCTCCCAGGGACAGCCTGGTTCAGGAGAACAGTCCCTGCTCAGAGCTGTGGACTTTAACGACATTCTTTCTTGAGAATTCAGCCACCCCTCATTTGACTTTACAGAGTGAATTTTGTCATTGCATATTATTAGCCTTTTTTTCTCCTTTTGGACTGAATTGTACAATGTACAATTTAGCCCATTTCATTTACAGGAGAAGGAGCAGGGGAACATTTTCTGTAAGAGAAATGACTCTCCAAAGATGGGGAGATGGCGGTTGTCAGGTACTTGTCAGCTGAGGAGTGACTGAGTTTGTGGCCTGACCCACAGACAGCTGCCCCCTTTTGCCATTTCCCAGGGCAGAGAGCTATATGAGGAGAGAGAAGAGCCTTGTATAGCCTAAACAGGGGGATATTTCCAGTGTCTCACTCCACTTTGCCAGAAAACATGCAAACAACTCTCTTTATCTTCTTCCCCTCTTTACCCGAGTGCTATGCAGAGCCAACCCATCTTTAAAATACCTTGGGAAATGTGTGTAGATCTTGGCCGTGGGGGAAAAGGGAATCGTGCAGTGCAACCAGCCATGGTGAAGATTACTGTTTTCTACAGGGAGAAAAAAGAAGCAAAGGTCTTCAGGCAGAAAAAAAATGCAAATGCAAAAGAACACACAAGCCATGAATCATGCAAATCTTACACTTGTCAGGCAGTGCCTGTGCACTTGGGTCTCCCCTGATGAGCTTGTGGGTGGAGGAGAGGCTTTTAATACCACTCAGATAATCGTGACATTCCACTCCTCTGCTCCTGCTGGGAACACATCCCGAGGTGATAGAGGTGGCTCTCCCGAGCAGCTGGAGCAGAAGGACAGCACCACTGGGGGGAGGCCCAAGTGTCCTAGATGCCCATTTCCCTTCTCCCTGCGCTGTTTCCCACATCACAAGGTGCTTTTGGGGAACGCTGCCTTTCCAGAGATGTTGACTGTGATGTTTGCACGTCCCTCAGTCACCAGGGCCTCCGGCTGGGGACTGGTGCTGCTCTGCAGTCTCTTTTGCACCAAGCACATTATCACCGCTCATAAATCATCATCACAATAATTAGCTCCAATTAGCGACTTAATGGAGAGTCAGTGGGGATTCCTGAGCATACCTCACCGGCATGGCTTTTTTAGGACAGTGGAAGCTGAGAAAGCCCTGAGGAATCCCAGTGGCGGCTGTCCCTGATCCCAGGCCTGCTGGGTAGGTTTGCACGCACCCTTCCTGGCCCTCACCCCCATGGGGGAATGCAGCCTGGCCAGCTCCAGCCACGCGTGGTGGCATGGCTGCCAGCCCCAACACAGCCCAGGCTCCACTTCTTCCTGCCACCCCTGGTGTCCTCACTCCAAGTCAAGAGAAGGGAGAGATCAGCTGCCAGGACTAGCATGTCGCCCAGACTGTAATTAACATGGACACTTATGTCTTTTCAATCCGAGTACCTCCTTTACATCTGTGAGCATCTCCTCCTCCCTCTCTCAGCTGTATGGTTTCAGGCAGATTACGAAGCTCTCTTTGGCCTAGCTGTATTCTTTCTTTCTTTTTTTCTTTCTTTTTTGTGGTATTTCACTGGAAAGCCACAAGTTACAGGAAGACGTGTCAATAGGAGCAAATTGCACAATTACAGCAGCTCGATAGACAGACGGTTCTTAGGCCAGTATGTAAATTGGTGTTTTTAGAAATTACACATCCTTTCTTTTCATGTGGGATCTTGACTTATCTTTCCCTGACTGCAGGGATTCTGCTGTGTAATGGGGTCTGCTATTGTGTGAGAAGTTGTTTTGTAACATGATGGCAGCAGTTTCAATTCCACCAATCAATCCAGGCCTTGGAAGTATAAAATCAAATTTTTACCTCTATTATCCAGTTTAGCTTCTACCTGTCCTCTGCAGGGGTACAGGGAACGTTAGATTCATCTACATCATTTAAGTCCAAATTCCAGATCACTATTTGCTTGGGATAATTTTAATTGAGCTGGCTGAAGGTGAAGCTCTCTCCAATGAATAATAATACCTTCTCTTTTAGAAGAATGACAGAGATGGAAATAGAATTAATTCAGAGATCCAGTCTTATGGTCTACCCACTGGGCACACATCCTCCAAATTAGATAGGACAGAATGGGAACTTTGAAATTACCAAGGAGCCGATTTGAAATAAATGCAAACGAAAGCTTTTTCATACCATGCGTAATTAAACTATGGAACTCACTGCCACTAGATGATGCAAAGGCTCCTAAAACATAAACAAGTGTCAGCAGGGCTTGGCCAGGTTTGGGAAGAAGGACTAAACTCTGAGAGTCAGAGTTAAATTTCATGTCCACCAAGAGCTGAGAAAGTGTCAATCCGATGAACCATCTTCTTCTTGCCTTGCTCCTCTTACTTCTTCCTTCCTCACCCACCCCTGGCTGCTCTTGGATAGTACAGCACCCTTGTTTTGACCCTGCACCCTGCTTCCATTTTCTGCATAGCAGTGTGGTTCAGGTCAAGCAGTGCTATCCCTGAACACAGCAGATTGCACACATGAAAATGTCAATGTGGAGGTGCTGTTTGCCCCTCTGCTCCAAAGACAAGATTGTCCCAAGCACCTCTCCTTTCTGAAGTACTGAGGTTTGCAGGAAGAAAGCCATATTTTACTGAAGGGTAAGTCAGCTCATTCAGCTCAAAGCTGGCTTTACAGTGCCTTGGTGACCCTCCAGAGGAATTCAAGGCAGACCACATTTTTTGTGTGTTTGCTTGTTATCTTATCTTTGAAGTCCTGTGGGAGGCCGTGATCTGCCTTCAACTAACATGAACACAGTCTGACTACAAATCGTTGTTTGAGGAAGTGATTGTGTGACTTTTTAGCTCCAAGATAACAGTTAAAGAGCCTGCCCAGGTCTCTCAAATTAAATGCATAGCTACTCAGTGCACAAAACTTTCATTACCCTGGCTGCCAAAGGTGCCAGGTCAGAGCTCAGCCCTCCATCTTTGATGGTCCCAGTTCAGTCAGTGCTCTCAGATCTCTCACTCTTTTCCTAACTCACCCTCCCAGGGTCTCAGAAAACACTTATTTTGCAGCTCTTCCAGAGCAAACTAGAGTGTGGGTTTTCCCTGATTTCTTTTTTCATAGGGCTATCTGTTTTCTCACACATAATTACTCCCCCTGTTCTTTTTAAGGTTCTGCTGCTAGAAACTGGAAATGACTTCATGCTTCAAGTGGGAAATCACAGGTGAGCATTTATGGATGTGGAGATGCTAAGACCACCAGCAAAGCACAATTGCTATGAGACCGGAGGCTGTCCGCCTGGATCTCACACGCCTGCCCAGCAATATATTCTTCAAACATTTTTATCCATTCATGCAACCCCATAAATGTGAGTAGGTGTCATTTTTCTATAAATATTGTGCACAGGATCTGCCAAGTGATTTAGGCACCAGTTTTCTGTAGAAATGCCTATATCTCAATGGTGGGTGGGCGTATGGCAGCTCTGCCTGTTTGCAGTGGCGCTCAAGAGGCTGATTTTCATGTCTGCTCAGATGCTGTTACACACTGTGGCTGTGTGAAGAAGGCAAATATAACAGGCTATGTGTAGTGACTCTCCACAACCTACAAGTGGTGGGTAAAATTCACCCTGGAAGACCTTTCTTCAGAATGTGTGGCCCTATTTATACATGAGAACGGTGTCAGCAGCATGTCTAAAGAGAATACAGTCGCGCAGTGTTCCATGAGAAGTTTTTCCATGCTGGCTTGAAAGTCAAGATGGAAAATAACAGCCCAGAAAACAGATCAGAAAGGCACACAAACCTGGGGTGGGTGAAGATAGGGAACCCAAAGGAGTTTAAACCTTCATCAGCTGGCTTATGTCTTGGGAACAGGACTTTTGGATAGAGAGGACATTTCTCTTCTTGGCACCAACTGATATAGCACTAATTCCCTTTGTGGTTCCTTCTGTGTCTGTGGGAGAGATGAGGAAAAAATTCCTGATCCATGAATGAGGTTTGGATCAGACCCTGTGCTGTCAGCTGATAACTCTCAGCCCTGCTGAGAGCCCTGAGTCTCAGCCCTGCTGTATCAACAGGATGGTACAAATTCACACCTCACAAACAGGAAGCGCTTCCAACTTGCTATCAGGCAATCCTGCTTAACTCAGGGGTTTTCTAATGTAGCAGTTTCCCTTGTGACATGACTATACATATTCACCTGGTTTCAGGCTTATTAATAATTGAGAAATATTTAGTGACACCTGTTCTGGAAGTAGCAATGACTGATGCGAGCAGAACCATTTCCGATAGTGGGCTGGAGTTTATCTACAGATCTTTCCTGACAGAGAAATAATTACTTGATTAACATTAGTATAAGTGTTGTGTCTTAAGTACTAAAGAGAGATGATCTTGTCTCTCTCATTCTCTTGCACGTGCTTGCTGTGGTGTTTAGAGTACCCACAAAATAGGAGGTTGTAAATGAGCCCATTACAGGGCAACCTACTGCTTGTACTGATAGGCTTTTGTAGAAAGATTCTAAATGTGTAATTCATCTGTGCCAGTTTACAGGCACGTGAAGGGTGCAGCTGTGAATGCAAAGCTCATAGTGGTGCTCTGAAGATAAAATTCAGGATGGCTCTGGTGTGATGGACTGATGGTTGGACTAGGTGGTCTTGGAGGTCTTTTCCAACTATAATGATTCTATGGTTCTGTGTCCTGAACTCTCCCATTACTGAAGGTGAAGCATCAGAAAAGGCCTCAGACAGGCCACAAGCATTTCTGCAGGTGTAGGGAAGATTCTTTTCCGTGGTTTTGTTCCTTTAACTGTGGCCCAATTACTCCAGTTGTTGAGGTGTGCTAGGAGAGACATACAGCTGAATGCTAAATTAGTTTATTTCTCTAGCTAAACTATGCCTACCTATTTTCCAAGTACAAATGCATGTGTCTCTGCCCTCACGTGGACATTCCCTTGTTTTCTTCTCCCATTGCCAAGAAACAGTTGAGTGTTTTGCAACAGCATATTGCGAGCACCCACAGCCTGGCAGCCTGGGACAGATGGAAGATAGAGGGTAGGGACGCTCCTAGCAAGAGATGGGAGCAGTGTATCATGTTTCCCCTGGCAGAGTGGGAACTTAACTCTAACCTCCCACATCCTGCATAGATGTCCCAGTCACCTCCTGTTCTGCTTATCTGTAGGTAAAAAATTCAGGATTATAAATTTTAGTCAGCTGCGTTTTTGTGCAGTGTCATATAAATTGTCTTCAAGCCAAAGTGTTTTCCTGCTTTGAAAAAGAGGGTTTGGATTTTTGTTTCATCAGATCACAGAATCACAGAATCACCCGGGTTGGAAGGGACCCCAAGGATCATGTAGTTCCAACCCCCCTGCCTAGCAGGGCCACCAAACATACACATTCAGATCAGGTTGCCCAGGACCCCGTCCAACCTGGCCTTAAACACGTCCAAGGACGGGGCATCCACAACCTCCCTGGGCAGCCCATTCCAGGGCCTAACCACTCTCCTAGTAAAGAACTTCCCCCTAACATCCAACCTAAATCTTCCCTCCTTCAACTTAAAACCATTTCCCCTAGTCCTGCTGTTATCAGCCCTTTTGAAGAGTTTACTCCCCTCCTGGGTGTAGGTTCCCTTCAGGTATTGATAGGCTGCAATGAGGTCACCCCGCAGCCTTCTCTTCTCCAGGCTGAACAAGCCCAACTCCCTCAGCCTGTCCTCATAGGGGAGGTGCTCCAGCCCCCTGATCATCTTAGTCGCCCTCCTCTGGACCCTTTCCAAAATCTCAATGTCTTTCTTGTACTGAGGGCTCCACACCTGGACACAGTACTCCAGATGGGGCCTCACAAGAGCCGAGTAGAGAGGGACAATCACCTCCCTGTCCCTGCTGGCCACCCCTCTCCTGATGGAGCCCAGGATCCCATTTGCCTTTCGAGCTGCCAGAGCGCACTGCTGGCTCATGTTCAGTCTCTCGTCCATCAGGACCCCCAGGTCCTTCTCTGCCGAGCTGCTCTCAAGGACCGCTCCTCCCAGCCTGTACAGGTGCCTGGGGTTCTTCCGGCCCAAATGCAAAACCTTGCACTTTGCCGTGTTGAACCTCATCAGGTTCACCCAAGCCCAGCCCTCCAGCCTGTCGAGGTCCCTCTGAATGGGATAAAGATAAAGTACCCTGAGTGGTACAGGCATTGTTTAAGAGCAAGTGTCATCACAGTGACTTAGGAGAAGTAGCAGGTGTCTCATTGGAACTGCAAAGAGAATGTAAATTCTCTTGTGCTAGAGTCCAAAGCACACAGTGAAGGCCTGGAGCCTGTCTGGTACGTGGAAGCAGCTTGCTGAAGTGATGCTGGGACGATTTACACCCGTGTTTTGTTTTACTAGCATTTTAACTGCCCCATCTGAACTAGTGGCCAGGATTTAGGAGTGGGTCGATAGTGAAAAAAATCCATTAATTGATTATGGTGCTTTTCAAACTTTCTGAGCTGCTGGTGCTGTATTGTTCGGTCAGCACAACTACAGGAGGAGGCAGTTTGCAAAATGGGTGGCTTATTTAAACCTCCCTCCCCAGTATGCAGTTTTCATCTGATGAGGGATATAAAAATGCCGTGTGACTTCAGCCAGGAATTGTGCCCTGTGAATGGAGTGCTGCAAACAGGAATCCTGATAAACGCTTTGCAAGAAACAATACCAGATGAAAAAAGTCACCCAACCCATGTGAAGAGCAGGCTGAATTCTGCTCATGATTCATCTGACCTTTTCCTGCCTAGTGACTTGCCAACCCTGTATGTTGAACACACAACCTTTCAGTAGTGTTGCTTTGCATCCAGAAGCATCAGAACCTCCCCAGAACCCTCAAAGGAGGAGACCCCCAGCTATCAGCTCCAACCACTTCCCACCACTGGTCTGAAAACTGCCCATTTGGCCTCATTCTTTGCCTAGACATCAGCCAAGAACAGCAAGAGGCAATGGCAAGAGGTGCCATTTGGAAAACGTGGTCTGTGAAATGCAAATGCTTCTAGGTGATTGCAGAGATAATATGGTCTTATGAAGGAACCGCTTGATATGTCAGTGTTAATACCCATATCCCTTCATTCGCCCAGTGTTTGTATGCACAGTACATATTTTGCTTACAGAATACAGATCAGGGTTGTAATAGAGGTGTCTTCAAGCTACATTTATTTGATGTATTTGTTTTTACATTATTTTTATGCTACTAGTGAATGGGCTGTTTGGGAATCAAAATGCCAAAGCTGAGGTATGAACAGGATTGCTCATCTCCATCCCACATCAGGCATGATAAAGAAATCAGGGTGGTATTGATTGCAGCTGAGAAGGGGACAGAGCACACAACACTATGCATGCAAACCCGGGCCAGCCACTTCATACCCTGGAAAACATGGCATTTTTATATCTTAAATTTCTGTGCAATTTAGAGTTGAGCTGTGTACTGAGGGGCAACGGAATGTCTTTCAGGGAGACGAAGAAGGAAATATCTTTCCGTAAACAATAATTAATGAGCAGCTTCATCAAACAGTGGTGACTAGCTGAAAAATCACAGGAAAAATATATATTTCTTTAATGAGCGCACCACAATTACTCACACCACTGTGAGAGGGGAAACTCACAGGCCTTGTCCCAGAGCTGGCAGTTTGCAAACCCCTCAGCTGTCCCTCCAACTCTTCTACATTTGTGCACTCTGTCATTGCTGTGCTTTCGATGGCATTGAGACCAGGCGTTGACATCTGTCCCTCTGCAGAGGTTGTAGCCAGGGCAGCTCACACCTCTGAGATCCCAAAGCATCTCTGTTGCAGTTCTGCTTCCTATAGCTCTGTGTCCCGTCTGCATCTCCTTCCTACAGGAAGACCTGTCCTGACCCTCTATTGCTCACTGGGGATTTGCATGCATTGTTTGCTGGCAAGTGTGAAGAACAAGGCCTGAGAATTTGAGAGCAGAGATTTTGTTTCTGTAATTTTGAGGCCAGCGTGTGAAACATCAACCTTCAGCTCCCAAAATAAGCTGCGGAGGTGTCACCAGTCTGTGAAATGCGTCTGCCCGAGGAACAGCTGCATTCACACAGGAAAGAGGGCGTGCTAATTGATTTGTGCTAATTGGTTTGTGTCTGTACGTGAGCATGCGTGTGTGTGGACAGACTGGTAGGTACCAAACATAAAAAACAGAAAATGGCAATAGAAGGAGACAGCAGTATTAAAAAAGCGGGAGCAGGTGTTTGTTTTTATGGTGTGTTTGTAACAGGCTATTTGCAGGTCTGCACAGCTGGTGGGCCACTGTGAATGCAAAGTGAGATCCCCAGAGACAAATAACACTTTTTATCAGATAGCTGATAACAGTCAGAAGAAAAAAACAAGTGTACAACTGTGGGGTAGTG